TCTCGGCCTCCCACAGTGCTGGGATTACAGGCTTGAGCCACCGCGCCCGGCCACCCCACACATTTCTTATCAATCAACCCAGGCCAATCTGTCTTTCAACTGTACATTTTTATGTTCTTGCCTCACCACTTACTAAAAATAAACAAGAATAAATAGCAATCCAATCCAAATAAGCATCTCTCATCTATAATTATCTGAAGCAAGGGATTTAAAGATGGGTAGAGTTAATCCACCTCACCAATTGCATCTTCAATGCCTGTTCAGTCATGCTTCAATGTCTACATTCAATTTATAACGAATATGAATATATAACATTGTAGAGGGAGGCTTCTGGCAGATCCAGTCTGACAAGAACAAAAGGTCAAACAGTTCTTTTGCTGTTCTGTGACAGTTAAAGAGTCTCTGGGTTGGGTTAAAGGGTTGAAGAGTTATGTCTAGATCTGGAATGGATCATGCACACAATTAACTTCTTGTCAGACCAAACGACATGACAGCACAACTTTCCCCAGGCAAAAGGACAGCCAGATGGAAAGCAACTATTTTTCTCAACCTATTTCAAATTTTGAAATAAGAATGGGAATTAATGATGGAAAAAAACATTTCTAAGTTTAAGAATATACTTCTACTTGGGTTGTAGGGGTTACACTTGGAAATCTTGGGAAAACAATCTGATTTTTTTTCCCTCATTGGAAACTGGTTACCTCTCATCACCTTTTAACTCAGAAACTAAACACTAAGAGATTAGAGTGTAGACAGTACTACTCAAATATTGGATCCATACTTTCATTCATTATACGTTGACTTATACAACACTGTTTGCAATGTTGACTTTAAATATTCATAGCTCAGCTGATGAGTAAACATTTTGAGTTTTTCCCTGCTGATGCTGCCTGCAAGCAACAGTTTAGTTTTGGCATTTTCATCATCTTTGTCTGACATGAATTTTTGCTTTTGTTCAATTATTGGCGAAACAGAAGTATTGGGCCAAAGACAAAGTATTAGGCTTGCTGTAGGTGGTATTTGGCTTCAAACGGATATTGTGTGATCAACTATCAAGGAAAACAATGCACAAGTATAAAGTTTTAGAAATACTCTGCCAAAAACGCTGTCAAAAAGGCAAGATGGGCCAGGTGCGGTTGCTCACACCTGTAATCCCAGCACTTTGGGAGGCTGAGGCGGGTGGATCACAAGGTCAGGAGTTCGAGACCAGCCTGCCCAAAATGGTGAAACCCCATCTCTACTAAAAATACAAAAATTAGCTGGGTGTGGTGGCAGGCACCTGTATTCCCAACTACCTGGGAGGCTGAGGTATGATAAATCATTTGAACGCTGGAGGTGGAGGTTGCAGTGAGCCAAGATCATGACATTTCACTCCAGCCTGGGCAACAGAGCAAGATTCTGTCTCAAAAATAAATAAATAAATAAAAAGGCAAGATGACTTAAGAAAGACCTTTCCTCTCTCCACATACAAAACATATGAACACATTTAAGTCTATTGTTCAACTTTCAGTGATATGACTTTGTTATACATTTTGGAGACCCAATATACACTACAATAGGGGACTGCGGATTGCCTAAAGGTTAGCCTCTAAATCAATTATTAGTGACCATGTCCAGAACACGTTCACAAAAGATTAAGAGATAAAAGGATCCATAGATCCTTTTTACCTACTTCAAAATGATACTACTGTAGATAAAAAACTGGAGGCCACAAAGATTATTTTACTTGCCTAATGCTCTACAACTCAATTTATGGTAATGCTGGGTCCAGAACCTGGGGTTACTCTAAGTCAGCAATCTTCCCATCACTATTATTTTGTAAACCTTCGTCATGGTAACATCGCAATTCTATTAGGTTCCTTAAAAATCATGAGAGGCATAATTCCTGAGAGCCTTGAAATTATAGTGCTTCTGGGTTCTGGGTCTGTGACTGTCCCTTGTTTCACAAAATGAATACGGTATCTGGTAAGACCTGAATGCCAAATCAGTAAAGGCTGACACTGCAAATGTTTTAAAAATGGTTTCTGCATCTTATCTTCTAGGTCTCAGGTTAAATGTCACTTCTTCAGACATGCCTTTTCTAGCAAGCTTACCTATGCTTGTCCTGTTCTTTATATAACTTTACAGCACATAATACATTTTGAAATAACACATTTATTTAATTATTATATATCTTCTCAAATACATGATTAATTCCATGAAGGCAGGGTCATCTCTGTTTTGTTCAAAACTGTTTATGTAGCACCTACCACACAGTCTCAGCATATAAAAGAGGCTCTAATATTTACTGAATAAACAAATGAATTTCTCTCTCTAATTACGGTTGAGGCAAGCCTTACGGAAGCCCTAATTATTCCTTTTAGTCTGTCCTAAACTTGATATATCTAAGCTCAAGGGATTAAAGTTCCAGGGAAGTAGATTTTCCTGAGATTTTAGCTCAGCAAAAGCTACCAATTAGAAAGATTCAGAAATGGAATGAGCAATTTTGTAGGACACTGATTTCTTTGTTAAAAAGAGGCTGGAAAACCAAGTGCCCAGGTAAACAGAATCTCTCTGCATCAGGCAGGTCAACTTTGACAAACTCTCAGGTGTATTCAAAGCTTTAGATACCGGAATTTGTTTCTTTTTGGCTCTTTGATTTTGAATTAGGTTAAAAATAAATTATACATACAAACTTCATTAGGAAATAACCTAGGAGAAGCCATCTAATGAGACTCACAAAACTGATTATTCAGACATGCATGCCCATTTACAATTATTTGATACATGCGTATTTTACTGATAATACAATTTAATATAGGTCCTTCTACATGTAACTCAATGAAGAGTAAAGGTCCTTATACATGTAACTCAATAAAGACTAAAACAAGAGGTTTTTAAAAGTTTATGTAGCATTTCAGTTTTAAACACATATGCGTGTATGTGCATACACACATATACATGTGATTATGTCAACTCTGAAGAAAACGATGTTGAGCTCCTACACAGTAAGCAGCTTGTCCAAAGTGCTAGAACTGTCCGACGGTCCCAAACCCCCAAATCAGTGCTGTTCTCACTCTCATAGACCACACTACTTTTTTTTTTTTTTTTTTTTTTTTTGAGATGGAGTCTCCCTCTGTCATCCAGGCTGGAGTGCAGTGGCGCATTCTTGGCTAACCGCAACCTCAGCCTCCCGGGTTCAAGTGCTTCTCCTACCTCAGCTTCCAGAGTAGCTGGCATTATAGGTGCCTGCCACCACGCCTGGCTAATTTTTGTATTTTTAGTAGAGACAGGATTTCACCATGTTGGCCAGGCTGGTCTCCAACAACTGACCTCAGGTGTTCTGCCTGGCTCAGTCTCCCAAAGTGCTGGGATTACAGGAGTGAGCCACCATGCCCAGCTGACCATACCACTTTTTAACTCTAGAATTACCCATCCTTTAGGCTCAGCCAAATTTCCATCCTCATCTTGAATTGAAAATACCTTTCTTTTCTTTAGGCTCAGCCAAATTTCCATCCTCATCTTGAACAGAAAATACCAAATTTTACTAGAAAAGGGCCAAATGAAATTAAAAAAAATATCACTTTTTTCCATAGGTGCCAATAAAAATATCTATTTTATTAGAGAAATTGTAAACATCAAATATAAACAAATTATAACACAACAGTGATTAAAGAGTTTAAATAGTTAATACAACATCTCATTAGCTTTTATAATTGAAAAGCAACAGTTATTAAATGTAATTTTTCATCCAGTTCAATCAAAGGAGATTTCAATTCAGAATAGCTACTTTATTAAGTCAATTAAGACCTTAAGGAATATTTCTTTTCTGCAATGTTTAGTTAAAGCACTGAAAATAAGATAAGCATTTATCACGAAGTATATGGCAAGGGGAGAAAAGATCCAACATTATTTTGATCTACTAGATGGTTCTCAAAAATTACACAGGAAAGTGATTTAATGATTATAGACAAAGTAAAATATACTATCTCATCCTGTTTTAGAGTTGAAAAGAAACTTTGAGATTATCTAATTCAATTTCTTCAATTCTTCTTAATTGAGGTAAAGGATTTGAGAGACCCCTTGCTATAAGTACTTGTACTTGGGGGAAATCATCCTTACGTGAAAGGCCTCAACTTTCTAAGAAAATCACAACCACTTATATTTTTTCTATGATATCTTATGGTACCACAACAATTATATATTGAAATTTGCATTTCTAAAATCCAAACATGCATTCCAATGTATGCAGAAATCATGTGCAGTGCCTCTGCCATGAGGTGCTTTTCCTTAACCAATCTTCCAGCTATAAAAGACATGAATGAGGAAACCTTGGGAAAGGAATAACATCCTTGATATTGTCAACTCCCAAGATGCACTGCAGGTAGCGTTCAAATCCCATCCCAAAACCTCCATGTGGCACAGATCCAAATCGACGAAGGTCCAGATACCTGTTTTTCAAAAAAAGAAAATCATCACTTATATATGTTGTATAAGATCAGATGTTATGGTTAGAATTTTATGTTTCAAAAGTATTTTGCAATCATTTGTTATTATTTACCTCACTGTGATAGACCAATCTTTCCCCTCCACAGACAGATCATGGAAAGGAGAAGCTGAATAATTATCCAAGGTTACCCAGAGAAACAACAGTGGAGCCTGTCATACAGTCACGGGCTTTGGTCACTTTTCCTTTTTAAGCTATTATATTTATGCGTTTATGACAGAAAACTTGCCTCAGGAAGTTACAGAAGATTTTCTATAGCTTTACTCATTTCCTTGAAAATATATGCCTCTTTTATTTCTTGGTACATTAATAACAATGCTTTCTTTTCCTTCCCAAAATCATATTGTTCAATACACAGAGGAGATTGCAGAGTATTGTCTGTTACATTACAAAGAGATACCCTACAGAACAGACTATAAGCTACAACAGAGCAGGAGTTGTGCTTCATTCAACTTTTTGATTGCCAGGGAATGCTCTAGAGTAGGTGTGTACTACATAAATTTTGTTTGAAGGCATACAAATACATGCTTGAATGCTAGAGTGAGGAGAAAACTTCAATTCTCTGACTCAGGCTTAGTGAAGATGCCCAGAGTCATTTTGCTGACATGCTGGACAGCCTCTGAAACCCATTCATGCACATTCTTTTCCCACTTAAGACCAAACGGCTAGACAATGGCACAGCCATGACTGAAACTCAGATGTTAATACACCAACATTGGAAAAAGTTTTAAAAACAGGAAAAGGACAACTACAAATATTTTATTATGTTATTTGGTGGGGAAGTTCTTGAGTTATATAATATTGATTAAAACAAGTTTATCTTTTCTTACATGATTTGTAAAAATCAGCTCTGCAACAAGATGTAAGCAACATAGTTTGTAGCTACTTGGCTCCTCAATCATAAAGACTGCCTATCAACCTATTTCCCTACCATTAATAATAATGGCTACATATACTAGTATTGTAGGAAGTTAAATCTAAGTAGTTACCTTCTTAAAAGAAAAGATTAATTCCAACCAGGTGAGTTGTAACCAGGTAAGAGATCAACATTACAGGGATATCTAGTATAAACCTTCAGATTAGTAAAAACTATAAGAAATAATGGGAGGCTGGGCGTGGTGGCTCATGCCTGTAATCCTAGCACTTCGGGAGGTCAGGAGATTGAGACCATCCTGGCTAACATGGTGAAACCCCGTCTCTACTAAAAAATACAAAAAATTAGTTGGCCGTTGTGGCACACGCCTGTAGTCCCAGCTACTTGGGAGGCTGAAGCAGGAGAATCGCTTGAACCTGGGAGGTGGAGCTTGCAGTGAGCCGAGATTGCGCCAC